TTTCGTTCCCGTTGTCTGAGGTTAGGACCCGTTGCTGCTGTTCCTTTCGTTCCCGTTGTCTGAGGTTAGGACCCGTTGCTGCTGTTCCTTTCTGTTCCCGTTGTCTGAGGTTAGGATCCGTTGCTGCTGTTCCTTTTTGTTCCCATTGTCTCAGGTTAGGACCCGTTACCCTTGTTCCTTTTTGTTCACGTTGTCCCAGGTTTGGCTGTAGGACGCTGTGCTGGTGTCCTCGGGGCGGCTGTGATAAAGGACCACATACTGGGTGGCTGGAAACAGCAGAAATTTACTCTCAGTCCTGAAGTCGAGGTGTCAGCAGGGCTGTGCTCCCCGCAGAGGCTCTAGGGGGGACCTACCTTGTCTCTCCCGGCTTCTGCGGCCCAAGGTCTTCCGTGGCTTGTGGCCACGTCACTCCAGTCTCTGCCTGCGTCTTCTGTGGTTGTCTGTCCTTTCTGTCTCTTTGTGTCCCTTCTTTTCTCTAAAGAGGACATCAGTCCTATGGGATTGCGCCCCACCCCCTTCCACTGCGAGCTCTTGTGAACAAGTAGCATTTTCAGAGACCCTGTTTCCAAATACGGTCACGTTCATAGGTTCCAGGGTTAGGACTGAACATATCTTTTTGGGGTGGCACAGTTCAACCCATAGCAGGCGCCCCTTCATGTGGGCTCTGGGGCCATGTGTCATGCCCCATCATTTCTGAGCACCTCCTTCCTTTCTGGTACCACAGGATGTCCCTGTGCACCTTCCTGTCTTCCTGCTCGTGAGCTTATACCTGCACCACCACCTTCTCCTCCCTAGGATGTGCCGGCGGGGGGACCCCCGGGCCTGTAGGACGTGCCGGCGGGGGGTCTCCCGGGCCTGTAGGACCAGCTGGCAGGAGCACCCCTGGGCCTTCCAGGATGGAGAGGTGCATGCCCAGGATGGGCGCAGGGCAGGACCTGCTGATGACATGTCCCCTCCTGCCCCACAGGTGTCCAGTCGGCGGCCGTCAATGTCATCTGCGAGCTGGCCAGGCGCAATCCCAAAAACTACCTGTCCCTCGCCCCGCTGTTCTTCAAGCTCATGACGTCTTCAACCAACAACTGGGTCCTCATCAAAATCATCAAATTGGCAAGTAGCGCCCTCCTGCGGCCTGTCCTTTTTTGTCGTCGTTTGGAAAGTGTCTCCGGAGGGTCCAGTGAATGCCGGCTCAGCACAGTCATGGAGGAAGCCTGTTCTTTTTGCAGCATACACTCTTTTCCTTTGTTTGATTGTGGTGAAGCACGTATCGTATCAAATTGGCCATTCCAGCCTTTTGTAAGTGTACAGTTCAGTGGCATTAATTACATTCCCAGCATCATACAGCCACCACCACTATCTAGTTCCAGAACATTCTCGCCATGCCAGAGGAGTCCCCTTACTCATTAGCAGTCACTCCCCATTCCTCTCTGGTAAACGTTAATGGACTTGTGTCACGGATTCGCTTAGTCTGCCAATTTCACGTAAACGGGCTTGCGGCGTGCTTGCTCTTTTGTGTCTGGCTTTCACGGGGCATCTTGTTTGAGGTTCATCCGTGTCATAGCGTGTATCAGCTTCATTTCTCTGCATGGCTGAGTGATACCCCGCTGTGTGGATGGACCACATTGTCTTGCTCCGTCACCTGTGGGTGGACGCTTGGGTCCCTCCCACCTTTTGGCTGTTGTGAGTCCTGCTGCTGTGGACATTGGTGACCGCGGATCTTGAGAGCATCCCTTTGCTCCTGTTTCTGGCTGCGCGTGACGCGTCACCTGCTTTCTCACCCCACAGTTCGGTGCTCTGACTCCACTGGAGCCAAGACTGGGCAAGAAGCTGATCGAGCCCCTCACCAACCTGATCCACAGGTGAGCGCAGCCCGCGTGCGTGCAGGGCGTCAGATCCACCAGGGACAGCACTGTACTGGTTCTGGGCACACAGAGCGAGACCCCCGGTCAGGAGGAGTGGTGCGGCAGATAGGGGGCGCTGGCTCCCTGGGGGAGGTCCGCTGCCTGGGGGAGCATCTGCAGAGGGCCCTGCGGGATCACCTAACAGGCACTTCACGAAAGCAGCAGATAGACACCCTGGGGGAGGTCCGCTGCCTGGGGGAGCATCTGCAGAGGGCCCTGCGGGATCGCCTAACAGGCACTTCGCGAAAGCAGCAGATAGACACCCTGGGGGAGGTCCGCTGCCTGGGGGAGCATCTGCAGAGGGCCCTGCGGGATCGCCTAACAGGCACTTCGCGAAAGCAGCAGATAGACACCCTGGGGGAGGTCCGCTGCCTGGGGGAGCATCTGCAGAGGGCCCTACGGGATCACCTAACAGGCACTTCACGAAAGCAGCAGATAGACACCCTGGTGCAGGCGTTTTGCACCAGCTCGTGTTCCAGAGCTGGTTCTGGCCTCTGTGGCGTCAGGTAGCCCTTCTGGGAAGCCAGGGCATAGAGTGTTGTCTTTTAAAATTGTTTTTAGAACAGCAACAGCGAGGGCAGAAGGGCAGGTGCATGGTCTAGGCCTCGCGCACGCTGGCCGCGGTGGTCGGGCTTAGGAGCCCATGGCATCACCTCTTGCAGTTCCGGGAGGCTCCCGTGGCTCTACCAGGGCCCGTTCCTGACTGGTCTGTGAGCTCCCAGGGCCGGAGGCACGTTTTCCAGCCTGGCCCGGGTCACAGGGCTGGGGGTGGGGTGCGTGGGCCACAGCAGCACCCTTGTCCTCATCCTCATGGTGCCTCTCGGGCCCCAAGGCAGCCCCCAGGCATTAGGGTTCCAAACATTCTTTCCATTTGGGGGTGGACTTTCTGTGTGGTGGGAATCCTGGTCCTCTCTGGACTGTGTTGGCTCAGAGGATGGCCCGCTTGGGGACATGGGCCACACTGCCAGAGGAGCAGTGACTCCCCGTGAGTCCCCGTGTTGGCCCTGAGATGAGAGCCCAGCCTCGGTCCTCAAGGCATTCTCTGTCTCTCCTCTTCCAGCACATCGGCCATGTCCCTCCTCTATGAGTGCGTGAACACGGTGATCGCAGGTGAGAATCCAGGCGGCCCGCTGAGCACCCTGAGGGCCTCATGACTTGGGGGTGTTCCGGAGGCTGTATGTGGAGAAGGAGGGCTGGGGCCTCTACCCTCACCCCCTCCAGCCACACTTCACACTTTCTTCTGAGCGTTCTAAAGCGGCTCTCAGGCTGTGTCCTTCCACCCATAAACACTCAGTAGCTTGTTGGACAGCGTCAGAGCGTCCTCCTCATCCAGCAGGACTAATGGTGGCACGTACTGAGGTTCCGAGTCCCGGTGAGACACAGTGCTGTCGGGGCAGGTGGGGTGGATGCAAGGCTGAGAGTCAGACTGCGTGGCACGCGTGCTAATAAGGGGGAGTTGGGGACCAGAAGGTCTGGGGCCTGCACAACAGGAAGGATGGGGCCGCCACCAGCTGAGCTGGGGAGGACTGTGGGTGCAGCGTGTCTTAGTTTCCTGGTGCTGCTGTAATAGAAAGACTACAAGTGGGTGGCTTTCATAGGTTTTCTTGTAATTTAGGAGGCTGGAAGTCTGAATTTAGGGCGCCAGCTCTCGGGGGAGGCTTTCTCTCTCTTTCAGTCCTGGGGGAAGGTTCTTGTCATGTTTCAGCTTCTGTTCCTCCGCTTTCTGACGATCTTCACGGGACGTGTACCTTCCCCTTGCTTCGTGCCTCCTTCTCTATACTCTTTTCATATCTGTTTACAATCTATTCTTTTTTTTAATCTCAAAAGTGGTTGGCTTAAACAAAATAACAAATGTTGGAGAGGTTGTGGAGAGACTGGAACACTTATAACTGTTGGCGACAATGTAAAATGGTACAACCACTTTGGAAATCGATTTGGTGCTTCCTTAAAAAGCTAGAAATAAAGTACCATATGATCCAGCGGTCCTGCTCCTTGGAATATATCTGAGAAAAATAAGAGCCATCACACGAATAGATATATGCACACCCATGTTCATTGCAGCACTGTTCACAATAGCAAAAATGGAAACAACCTAGGTGCCCATCGACAGATGAACAGATAAACAAATTACAGTATATCCACTCAACGGAATACTGCACAACAATGAAGAGCAATGGTGAAGCCATGAAACAGCTTACAGCGTGGAGGAATCTGGAGGGCATCATGATGAGTGAATTTAATCAGTCACAGAAGGACGAATATTGTATAAGAGCACTATTGTAAGAATTCAAGGAAAAGTTTAAACACAGAAGAAAACATTCTTTCATGGTTACGAGGGTGGGGAGGGAGGGGGAGGGGTATTCACTAACTAGATGGTAGGTAAGAATCATCTTAGGTGAAGGGAAGGACAGCACACACTACAGGGGAAGTCAGCACAACTGGACTAAACCAAAGCTAAGAAGTTTCCTGAATACAATCAAACACTTCGAGGGACAGAGTAGCAGGGGCGAGGGTCTAGTTAGGAGACATCTAGGTTAATTGGCATAACAGCTTATTAAGAAAATGTTCTGCATCCTACTTTGGTGAGTGGCACTTGGGTCTTAAAAGCTTGCAGGCAGCCATCTAAGATGCATCAAGTGGTCCCAACCACCTGGAGTAAAGGAAAATGAAGAGCACCAAAGACACAAGGAAAGTATTAGCCCAAGAGACAGAAAGGGCCACATAAACCAGAGTCTTCATCAGCCTGAGACCTGAAGAACTAGACGGTGCCCAGCTACCACCAATGACCGCCCTGACAGGGAACACAACAGAGAGTCCCTGATGGAGCAGGAGAAAAGTGGGGTGCAGAACTCAAATTCTAGTAAAAAGACCAGACTTAATGGTCTGACTGAGACTGGAGGAACCCCGGAAAGCATGGCCCCCAGACTCTATCAGCCCAGAACTAAAACAGTTTTCAAGGCTAACTCATCAGACAAAGATTGGACTGGACCGTGGGACATGAAATGATACTCGTGAAGAGAGTGTGCTGCTTGGCTCAAGTAGATACATGAGACTAAATGGGCAGCTTCTGTCCAGAGTTGAGATGGGAAGGCAGAGAGGATTAGGAGCTGGTTGAGTGGACACGGGAAATCAGAGGTGGGAAGGAGGTGTGTGCTGTCATGGTATAGGGAGAGCAATTAGGGTCACGTAACAACGTATGTATAAATTTTTGTGTAAGAGACTAACTCAAATGTAAACTTATGCTTAAAGTACAGCAATAAATAAAAAATATATCTTCAGAATTAAAAAAAAAAGCGGTTGACTTAAGACACCACTGAAGTGGCCTTGTTAACATAACAAAGAAAACCCTGTTCCCAAGTGGGATTACATCCACAGGTGTAGGGATTAGGATCCACAACACATATTCTGGGGGGACACAATTCAATCTATAATGGTTTTGTGGGGAGTAGACCTATGATTCGGTTTTAGACGGTGACTTTGAGGTGCCTGTTAAATAAGGTGTCTACCTTGGGCAGATCTGCAGGAAATCTCTTTAAAGTGTTAAAAACAAAGATATCACTCTAAGGACTAAGGTGCATCTGACTGAATTTATGATGTTTTCAATTGCCTCATATGCGTGTGAAAGCTGGACCATGAATAAGGAAGACTGAAGAAGAATTGATGCCTTTGAATTATGGTGTTCACGAAGAACATTGAATATACCATGAACTGCTAGAAGAAAGAACAAAGCTGTCTTGGAAGAAGTACAGCCAGAATGCTCCTTAGGGAGACTTCATCTCACGTACTTTGGACATGTCATCCGGAGGGACCAGTCCCTGGAGAAGGATATCATGCTTGGTAAAGCAGAGGGTTAGCTAAAAAGAGGAAGACCCTCAATGAGACGGACTGACACAGTGGCTGCAACAATGGGCTCAAGCATAACGATTGTGAGGAGGGCGCGGGACCGGGCAGAATTTCCTTCTGTTGTGTGTAGGGTCACTATTAGTTGGAACCGACTCGATGGTCCCTAACACCAACAACAGATGTCCCATTGAAGATGCCATGTGGCAGTGGTTCCAAGAGTCGAGGACAGCAGGCCGGGTCTGAGAGTGCATCAGCTGGTGTTGGAAGCCAAATGATGGAGTGGTGCCACCCAGGAACAGCAAGTCAGTAGAGCAGAGAAGGGGACTAGGGACTGGGCTCGAGGGCACCCTGACATTAGGAACTTGAAAAGAGCGAAAGTTTCCTTGTGCTGCTCTTGTTTCTCCAGGAGTCAGAAGGCTGCATCAGAGTAAAAAACATAACATGTAGGAATAAATTAACAAGAGATGGCAAGATAATACACTGAACGCAAAAAAAAAAAAAAATTGTTGAAAGAAATTAAGGGAGATCTAAAAAGATAGGAATACATCCCATGTTCACAGATGGGAAGAGTTAACCTTGTTGAGATGGCAGTATGCCCCAAAGTGATGTGCACATTCACAGCAATCCCTGTCGAGATCCCCGGTGGCTTCGTTGTAGACACTGGCAGGCTGGTCCAAAAACTCGCATGGAAATACAGGGACTCCAAATAGCCAAAATAGTCTTTAAATTAAAAAGAACGACAACGTTGGTGAGTCCTCATCTGTTAATTTTAAAACTTATTACAAAGCTATAAGAATCAAAACGGTGCGGTCCTGGCATAAACCTGGACATATAAACCAATGGAACAGAATGGAGAGCGCAGAAATAAGCCCTGCATTCGCAGTCCTTTGAGTTTGACAAGGGCTCTGTGACAATTCAGTGGGAAAGCACAGTCTCTTCAGCAAATGGTGCTGGGATGACTGGATCTCCACATGCAAAAAGGAGTACAGGTGGACCCCTACCTCACACCGTATACCTAAGTTAATTCGAGACGGATCAGAGACCTAAACTAAGAGGTAAAACTGTAAGACAATTGGAAGAAAACATAAAAGTAAATCTTTGTGACCTTGGAATTGAGAGTGGCTTCTTAGATATGACACCAGAAGCACAAACAACAAAAGAAAAACTAGATAAACTGGACTTGATTGAAATTAAAAACTTTTGTGCTTCGTAGGGCATCGTGAAGAAAGTGAAAAAACAACCTACAGGGTGGGAGAACTTGTAATGACATATTTGGTAGGGAGTTAATATCGTGAATAGATAAAGAACTTCAACAAGAAAAGGTCAACCCCATTAAAAAACAAACAATAGACTTGAATCAACATTTTTTCCAAAGGAGGTATAAAAATGGCCAACAAGCATGTGAAAAGATACTCCGTGTCAGTAACTATCAGGGATATACAAATCAAGATCACTGGGAGGTAGCACTTCACTCCCACTAGGATGGCTGCAGTTAGAAAAACGGAAAACAAGTGTTGGTGAGGAGGTGGAGAAGTTGGAACTCTGTCTGCCGCTGGTGGGAGTGTAGAATGGGACAGTCACCATGGAAGACGGGCGTTTGCTCAGAAAGTGGAACATGGAGCTGCTGTTGGTAGTTGCTGTCGAGTCGACTCTGGCGCCCCCACGTGTGTCAGAGTAGAACTGCGCTCTGTAGGGTTCTCTTGGGTGTGATCTTTACCAAAGCAGATCGCCAGGCATTTCTTCTGAGGTGCCTCCGGGTGAACTTGAACCGCCAACCTTTTGGCTATTAGATGAGCGCTTAACCATTTGCACCACCTGGGGCGTGGTGGCAGTTCAGTCTCACGTCCGTCAGTGGACGAGGGGTGGTGTCCACGGTCTGCACGTTGGATTGGCGTCTGGCTGGCTGCGGCTGCGGTGGTGTCTTAGCTCTAACCCCAGCTTGTCTGTTTCAGTCCTCATCTCCCTGTCCTCTGGCATGCCCAACCACAGCGCCAGCATCCAGGTACGAGACCCCACACCTGGGCCCTGGGTGTCTACGGGGGCCTGCATGGGACTGCGCGGTTGCCCTGGGCCCCTCCTGCCCCTCCCCCCTTGGGGAACGCGGTGCCAGCCCTGCTCCCGCTTCCTCGTCACTAGCCCTCCTGGAGGGTGTGGCTGGCCCCCCAGCCTCTGAGCTCTGTGAAAGCAGGGCTGTGGCCCATGGGACTCGCCTCCCAGCCCTCTTGATCGCCTGCAGCTCTGTGTGTGGATGGGGGGGACAGGGAGCAGACTTGCCTACGGCAGCCAGCAGTCCAGCCACTCTGCTCAGCTGCCTCCCGTGACGGGCTCAGCCTGCCCTGCCTGAGATCACCACCTGGGCTCCCAAAAGGCCCTCCCGTGACAGGCTCAGCCTGCCTTGCCTGAGATCACCACCTG